ATATAAAATATTTCTGTGTGTATTTGCACATCTATGTAGAAGAGAGATCATAACACCGTATCAGCTCAACACAAATTCCATGTTAAAAGGAATTGCAAATTCACAGAAAGATTTTTTCTTTTGAGAGGATCATGTCAATTTAGTTCCTTTATCAGTATTACACAACACTTATGGAACTGTAAAGAAAGAAAAAGGAATTACACTGAAATTTTGAGAGAGCATTTGGAGAACTGACTACAGTTGCCAAAATCAAATTGTCTTCCTATCTTGACAACCTACAGAGTTCAGGACAGAGTCCTGCAGAGATCTAAGTTACATGCATTAAGACTTTCATTAACATCTATGAACAGACCTAAAAAACTTTTAGATTTAAATCCCACCTACCTTTAAAATTAAACATTTGTGTTAACATTTACAACATTATAAACAGAGGAATCGCAAGGAATTGGGAGCTATTACTCATCTGCTCTTCTATAAAAACCCATGCATGACAGCAACAGAAGGAAGCTGAGCACAAGACATTTCTTTTGAACTTTTATGATCTTGATGCACTGTTTTGCTGTTCAAGATAAGCACCATAAGCAAATTAGAATATTATTTTAAATGACAGATGTTGTTAGTGGAAGTTGTTCTATAAGGTGTGGAACACACTGTCAGAATCATGGAGACACAGTGCTGTCCCCTCCCTTACACTCTTCCAGACCATTTCCCCCACTGAACCTCTTTAGAAATACCATTTCCTTCAAAACCAAGTTAATATGGTCTTAACTGAAGTATTTGCTTTAAAAAAAAAAAAAAAAAAAAACAACCTAGCTTGGATCTGAAGCAGATCCTGCTAGGCAGTGCAGAAAAACTGAAAAAAAAAGAAAACCTAACAAAACCCCAGAAATATTTGCAACGTCATTTTTCTACTTATAGGTGGTTTATTTTGTTTTTCCCAAAATAAGACAACATTTACTGCAAACTCAATTTTGGATGCATACATGCCAGAGACTCACACGCATCCCAAGTTCAGCATTTCCTACCAGCTACAATTTGCCAGCTCCTCACAAACCCTGAGAGGTTCTCTGGAAGTTGAACTCTTCTCACTAATTGGACAGTGAACATGTTCCTTACTTTCTCTAATAAAAGATCATTAGGGTAAGGATCTAGAAAGTTAAACACTTTCCTTACGTGTTTAACTTTGCAGAAAAGCAGGGTATGATCCTGTAAGTGTATCTATCATGTTTCAAAGGAATTTTGTAAATACAAAAAGAATTCCCACACCTCATTTCTGTGCACATGTCTTCATCCACAAGAGCCCACAGGAGTTTCCACATTAAGAGACATGCCATATTAAAGGTAGGTGTTATCTACACACTACACGAGTCCAAAAAATCCAAGTTCAGTGATACTTTATAGGTGTTAAACATTGAACATACCAGTTTCTACATGAAACAGATCAATAACTGACCATAATTTCCTTACTTTGCAAAATTAAACATTTTTTCTTGCCATCCATATTTGCATACATTCTGATAAGTTTTAAACACAAACTTTGGGAATCCACATGCCTCTCATGTCATATCATACTTGTGTTAGAAGTATATGGAGGCCTTTTTGTCACATTGCAAAGTAAAGAAACTATCCATAGAGATTTCATAAGAACAGCCTGAACCGCCTCGAGTGTATATCTCTGTTTTCTGCACAGAGTATTTTCTCTATTGCTTTATCGCTGATGCAACTAGAAAGACTACTGTGAACAGTAATAATTCATGTAAGCAATAATATTGTTTCCTGCACTTTTAGTTGGTTAAAAGAACTATCTTCAGGCAAAATACACTCTTGAATTATATATAGGCAGAAACACGAGTACTGCAGTACAGTGTAAATTCTGAATTGCCTGAATGACTTTTTTTGTTTACATTAGAAATATTTTAGACAGACAGGCTTTTAGAGGAGAATAAGGATGGAATTTACAGGGAAGTTAAAGAGAAGACAGTACCTAAATCCTCTGAATTTTAACAGGTGAGTCATGCCTCTTAGTTACAGAACCATTAAAAAAAAAAATCAATTTTGTAAGGCAAAGCTGACAGAGAAGATTCACATAGCTCTTTAACCTCAATAAACCAGAAGTTAAACGACAATTTTCTGAACATTAAGTTTCACTGACTTTAGGCTTGTCTTTTTTTTTATTTAATTTTAAAAATTTGGAAGGTATTTACATTCCAGACGTCCTGACAGCAACAAGTGGAATACATCCTGTTATGCATGTTTTCTATCAACATAGCAAAAGATCAGGGAAATCTCTTGAAATCCTTTGATTTCACTGCCAAACAAAATACTATGAAGATTAAGCATCACTGCAGGCAAACAGAAGAATTCAAGAGAATTTAAAACTACTTGGCATCTAGTACTGGGACATATATAAAATAAAAATCAATATTGATCACTTCAGTACTCTCCTACTTCGCCATGCTGCTTATTTGAAAGCCAGTGGGCTTTCCATTCTGATTATTAGAATGTGATTCCTGTAAAAAGCGTTAGCTAACAAATTGGATTTTTAAAATAATTGTGTGGAACTTCTTTACCCCATAGTTATATTCATTCTTTGAAATATAAAGTACTGAAAGTAATGTATTAACTTCACTTTGACTAATGGAATACACTAAAATGACTGAAGAAAATACAGAAAAAAAGTTTTAACTCTAAAATAAATTCATATTTAGACTTCTAGATTTCCATTCTCCATTTACAAGACATCACTGAAATAACAGTTACATGTGAACAATACTTCCCTACAACTTTAGAGAGAGACCTTTAAAAAAGGTAGTCATAGTTATGCCTATAGTCAATACCAGTGACAATGTATGGTGCATTACAAGGAGCAAGCTGAAGAACAGTTCCTGTGGTGAGCAGTATATGAAGTGTGGAAGAAATCAATAAACAGAGAAGACAAAATGTTCTGTCTTCAGCATTATTTATCTCTGAAGTAAGAATCACTGTAAGGAATATATATGCTACCTCTTTTCCTCAGAAAAACAGATTCCTAGAACTGGACAGTAAATGCCTTATGACATGGGCCAGTGTACAAAAGGATTGACCTAGGCTCTTGCCAAAAGAAATAAAAAGATTAAAAACCCACTGCGATATCTATAGAAAAGATCAAATATTTGGGCTCTATAAGTTGGAAAGCAAACAAAGCACACCTTTGTAAAGGTAACATGGGAGGTACTATTACATTTCTAATGCTGCTTGCTGACTCTTACTGTGGAAAAGTGACATTAAAATACAAGGAAGTTACTTGCATACAATATCAATAATGCAAATTTTTTAAATTAAATTATTGATACAACAAAGCGAGAGCATACATAAATGTGTGATTTAGTCTATTACTGTACATAACCTCTACACTAAATGTTACTGCTGAAGAATTGGTTTGTTATAGATCCCTACAGTCCTTTTTCCTAGAACTACAATCAACTTTATTTTCTGTATATCTCAAAACACCTAACTTCACTGATACAAAAGCAAAAACATTCACTTCCTACACTCAAAATTCTATCCAACTAGGTAAGCCTCATCTTAAGGCTTGCCTAGAATTTTTTACTATTAGTGTTAGGAATAAGAACCAGATCTTTCTGTCAAATAAATGCAGCAGAGATGTGCCAAGAAAACTATAATAAATACCTACTTGATTGGAAATTTTCAAGTTGACATGACAACTTTGCTATGTAGCATCATCATAATTTGTCAGAAAAATAGCTAGCATAAGGACTGAATGCTTGTTGATGTGCTTCTTCAGATGTGTATACATTTTAATAGCCAAAATAATAATGTTCTAAAATGTTTTTCATACTAAATTGATGTCATAAGCTTCCTTAGTGCAGAAAAATAAAGAAATTAGTCATCATCTGTAGGTGCAAGTAATCATGGAATACAATACTTACAAAGAATCTGTATGGCCAAAAAAACATTAAAATTCACCCTGTTCTGCTTAGATTTATCGAATTACATTGCATAGCTCAAAAGATAGCTTTTCATTAGTTAAGTTCCACATATGTACAGTATATTTGATATCAAACTTAGCTGGAGGGTACACTGAAATTTTACCCTAATTTGTGCAGAGAAGCTGACATGATGTACTGTGGCCTAAAGCTAGAAGTAGAATCTCAAGGGGGATGACAAAACACACTTAACTAACAACTGCTGTGTTAATAATTGGTGATCTAGGGTTTCTTTTTGTCAGTTAAATTGCTTGCAAGGACACCATATATTGACTTTCACTGCTCTCAGGAAACCTTACATTGTGGGAAAAGAATAGTTGCTTTCTATACTGACAGTCTGCTCTTTTCTGTTACCAAGGTTTACCTTAAGAAAGGTAATTTTACTCAGTTCACCAGTCTTCACCAATCCTAAATGAAATCAACAGGAACTAACATGCATCTGTTCACACAAGGAGCAATTTGCATAGTATTAGTTTTCTTGCCTATCACATCTGGAAGATTTATTTCATCTTAATCTTCCAAGTTTAAAAATCTGTATTTAAATTCAGCTAAACATCCTAGTCACACTATGGGAATTTTGCATGCTTTTGTTCTTGAAAACCATGTTCTACACATTCCAATAGATTTGGAAGGTGAGTTTTCCAGCTTCCAGGAAGTAATCTTGATCTCAAACCCTCAAGGGCACAACATTTTCAACTCCCTGCATCCCTTTGACTCAGACCTGTTACACTAAGGTCAACCTGTTATTAATAAAGCACAGGTAAGCAGAAAACACCCTAACATATCTCCCAAGCCACAGCTATTTAGCCTAACTTGATACCTCCAGAGATACTCAGAGGATCATGGCTTACCTTAAGAACTTAAGAACTACGTGGTTTCAGAAGAGAAAAGGAAAATTTAGATGTTAGAATAAATTATGATTTTATAAAAACACATTTTTCTACACATTTTTTTTTCTACACATGTTGATGTCCATCTCTATCTCCAATTGACACAGAACATAGTTATACATACCACAGTTTGGTGGTTAACTTGAATCACTTCATCCCCAGCATGGATTTTCTTGCACCGATCTGCAGGTGACTGAATTTAAAATAAAAGAGATGATAAAGAATACAGTTCTTACTGGTCATCATCTCTCTTTCAGAAGTATGATTGCTAAACTATGCAAATCAGGTTAGACTGATAATGAAATTCTACTGTGAAATAAAGAATTAAAGAAATATTTAGTAAATCAATTCATTGTTGTTGGAGAAAAATAATCCGTACTACTGTACACAATACAATCAAATAATAAAGAAGTATTCATACTTTTGTTAACAAGGGTAACCGAGTCCTAGGGATTTGTTTTTAATTTCATTCTGGCAAGAGTGCTTTAATCTGCCTGACATCTCTTAAGCCTTGAAAGCCAATCTTCAGCTGAATTTTGAAGATATCAAGACTAATTGGCAATTCTTGATAAAAATATTTCACAACATCCCCTTTTTATTCTACAATGTTTCAACATGTCGCAGAGATCTTCAGTGAATTACTGTTCTTCAAAGAGAACATAAGGAGAGAGGATTAGGTTAGGTACCAGTTAGGAAGATCATCTAAGTTACATGGTAAGTTAGTTTCTGGGTCATTATTAGGGTGAAAGCAATGAAACCAGCATCAAAATCCTACAAAGCTCACACTTCCAAAAAGCAAAGGAGTTTTGTTCTTTGCTTTTGCCTCAAAAAAACCACCTCAACAACACCAAAATCCAAACAAAACACCTGACAACAAAAAACCCCAATCCTCCCCCACAAAGTAATATGCCCCCCCCACTTTCCCTTCTTCTGTATTCTGTATTTACAGTAGACCAACTGTCTTCTGAGGCAAATACCCCTATGTTCAGGGGAAAATAACTTCCTTCTGCCTTTCATAGAGTGACAAAACTTTGATTTTTTTTCTCTGAATACTGTGGCTGCCACTTAAGTGCCACTTATGAAGGCACTTAAAGGTAGAAGGTGAGACTGACAAAAATAATCCCCAAGTTTCTCAGGATTAGGTTTGTGAAAAGATGCTATGCATTTTCCAGAAGTAAATGAAATTAGATTCATTTTCAGGTTAGATAAGAGACCCAGATAATATGCTCCAGGCGTAAAATGCAGACTATAACAACCTATGTACTACTTCCCCATTCAAAATATATGTCCCATAGCTATGCCATAAATTTCTAGTACAATTGCCTGTAATTCATGGCATAAGTTAAGGACAGAGTTTAAATGGAAGAGAAATATGAGGCTGAAAGAAGGGCCAGTCACGATTCAGTCCTAGGAGACACTGCTCAGAACATCCTAAATCAAGCTGGACTGGTAAAACTGTAATTTTGCTTACATAGGTAACAGCAGCCTTGACTTTTTAGTACTACCTTCAGTGTTTAAGGTGTTGGCTGAGTAATTTGGGGAAAATTTTAACACTAGTGTTTACGTTCCAGTGATCTGTACTCAGCCTGCCATTTCACTACTCACACTTATTCATTCTTACCTCTAATAATCTTTATAAGCACCCTGTGCAAGACTGCTGTTTTGCCTCAGATGCAGTTACATGTAAGGCTTTCAAAATGTAGCACAAGTGAATCTTGTGTCATTTGCCATGACCTCTACAGGACTTTATTACAATACAAACTTTCTCTTGTACTGACTTCAGCACTTGAGGCTTAAATCTTCACAAAAAGGTATTTTGTGTAACAGTTTGTCAAGGCAGTGAAATATGGCCTGAGAATCTTTAAATTGGAAAAGTCTACTTTAAAAAAAAAAAATCATTGCAATTATGCCTTGATCACACTACAAAGTGAGGTAAAAATAATTTACAAAGGAGTCTCACGGCTGGGGTCTTATGAAGATATTACAACTCCTGTTCCTTATAATTTTTTCCTCCCACAAATATAGACCTTGCTGTAAAGAAATAGCATCTTTTCAAATATGGTATTTAAGGGAAATAGAAGAAAAATCAATAAAATCTTCCTTGTTTTAGAGACATATGTTGATCATTAAGCAAAAGATACATCCATGAAGTCCTACTAGGAGGAACAAAATGTCACATGACAGCTATAAGTTCATCAGCTGGTAATTCAGTTTAACAACAGATGGAAGTATCTGTCGCCGAGCCTTGCACATCTATACCATACAAGCTATTCAGAAGCTGCTTAGGATTTATTCTTCAGAATAGGTTTAGTTTTGTCCTTTAGGCTAGATGTTGTCTTTGTCCCATTCCCCCAGTATACCCACATCATCTGAAGTTTAGATGCCCTGGAGCACACTTGCTGCATGCCCAGAGTGGAGATTTTGGTATTATTTCTTCTAAAATGCTTCTCCTCTGAGAAGGGCACTCCACATACACAACCAGTGCACAGTAAGTGGGGACACTGGGAGCACTCCCTTCAAAGTCGCACTCCTGCTGGAGATGCACTGCATGCCATTTATTTAGAAAACACACTTTTGTATTGGAAAAGCAAATTACAAAATGGCCTTATTTGAAGAACACATTTGTTTTGTGAATTAAAAGAATCTCTCCAACATGGTCTAACGGCTACTCAACAAGAAAGCTGTAATCTCTTGCTGGACCAATACAACCTTTAGATTCATTACTTCCAAATAAAAGAGAGAAGATGGGAACCAGAGAGTTAAGTTTGCTCTAATGATACAGAACCACCAGAAAGAAGCTCTTACAGGGCAGTGACCTGTGAGGAACCCTGCTCTCCCACAGCTCATTTCAGATATCAGCTGCTTTGAACTGCAGGGCTGATGTGTTGGGAGAGATGACTCCTAATTTTGAACAGTAAGATTCAAACTGTAATGGACATTGTAGCTGGATATCAAACACTTCAAATGGTAAGAAGAAAAAGCAGAACTGTGGTTACAAAAACTACTGTGTTACATTAGCATGGCTAGCACTGCCACGTTTAATGTTTAATAAACTGTGTTTATTAAAAAAGACAAGTGCTTCTCTGATCTTTCAGGAAGTTTAAGACATGGGCACACTTTTTGTCTCACTTGGAGGAGATGAATAGGAAAGAAAAATGACAAAAGCTTTGTTCAAAGGGAAGAGGATTTAGATTCTTACTGTTTCCTAGAAGTTAAATTGTATGACTAATAGCAAATATGTCAATATCAACAGGTCAGAACACATCCGCATCATCATGGCCTTGCTCTAGCCATGCTGCTTAGATGTTTCTCCTCCCATCTATTAGAATCATATCTTCTTTTTTTTTTTGTTCAAGGAAGCAGCTAGCGACTGTGCTTAAAAGCAGAAGACACTTTATTTCCACTAAAGTGTTAGCCATTTTCACAAATGCTTTAACACACAACAGCTTTTTCCCTAGATAGAAGACTGCAGTTTCCCAATCGGCTGAGAGCACCTCCAGGGTGTTACCAAGAGTGAAAGAGTCAATGACAACAGCAGAAGAGTCATCATGACTGAAGCTTCCTGATGTGGCTTGAAATTATATTCATGAATCACAAAAGATAAGAGTTTTGAGGGAATGCATTAAGATTTTATTTTTGTCTTTGCCCCTGGGAAATTAAATCCAGTATTAGTAAGGCATGGAGAGAAACGGTTCTATTTTAATCTGAGAAAAATTCAACAGCAAAAATCATCCTCTCTCTTTTATATATTTTCTAGATCAAGCTCAACTATCATTCTGTTGTTTTTGTTCAGTTTTGCTGATTTCACTGATGCTATCTTTACCTGTAGGTCTGACTCCCTACAATTTTGATTTCAAGGTTGAAGTTCCTTACATTTTCCTTATTCTCAGACAGGTGGCATTCACACAAGTTCTACAACAGGTATTATCTATTGGGTATAACCCATGGATATCCTGCCCACAGCAGAAGGCAACAGAAAGAAGAAAGGCTATCAGATAGCAGCTCCTATGAAAGGCTGAAAAAAATTCCTGTTTTATTGAGATGTTAACAGAACCTCACTGCAGATCAGATGCAGCAGCTGTAAATACCATGTAGATAGTTTGTACTTTCCACGGTATGACACAGTAGCAGGACAAAAATGTTTCTTATGGCTTATTTTTAAGAAAATATCATTCAAATCTTTGATGGGAACTGCCTAAACTTTTGTGGAACAGTTCAGTGTTGTTTCGTGCTTGTTCCATGTTCATCGAAGGTTGTGGACAGAAGCCTTTTCTCTAAAAATGATCATGTTACTTACTTGCTAACAGAGAGTTCTCTAAATACGGTGTACAAGGAAAGGAGTTTGTATTTCAAAGGCTTTTGAAATGTAGTCTTCTATGTTTTGCTTGCTGTTTAATACCTTCCGTGAGAATTAGTAGACCAGTAAGAAGTGTTCCTTTTGATAGGCATTACTCAGAAGCTCATGCAGAAACATATGGTTATCTGTCCATGTGAAGGGATGTTCTCATTTCCATGCGTTTATTAAAAAATAGAGCTTGAAAGATGGAAAATATAATAGCTGTGTGTCTAATCCTGCAAACTCCACCATATCAGCCTATACGTAATAAAGACATTTTTATTCTCAGAGCAAGGTAACTCCGAGACAGCTACTCAACTGCAGCATTTTAGGTGTCTTGCAAGAACAAATCAAAAGAGTAAATCAAAACTGATTCTCCTGGTCCTCAACTGGGAATAACTCTTTCAATTCTAAGGTAAACAAGCATAAGCATTTCTGTAGTCCAACATGCTACCGGTCCTCCACAGCCAACTAGCACACTTTTGCAAGCAAAATGTAAGGAAAGCATAAACCACAGGTAAGGTCAAAAAGGCTTCCAGGCCTGAACGTACAGTATTAACAATACTTACATTTTCTGTTGTTCCAGTAATTACATGGAGACCATCATATGTTGATTTAATGTACATACCCTAAGAAAAAGACATCATGGGAAAGAATTTTTAAAGTGTTTCACAAACCATCACCATCCAAACATAACTTGCACATCTCTAAAAGACTTTTTTTCCTTTTTCCTTTTTTTTTTTTTTTTAAGATTTGTGGACTTCTACTATTTAGCATGAGGAATTTGTGTCTTGATAGGAATGTACTTTTTGATACACTTTGAGAACAACAGCCCAAATGATTCTGGCTCTAAGTAGCAATAGTAAACTAAAACTTTTACCATACTCTTCTCCATAAATACTTCCTAGTTTATTAATAAGGTCCTTCAGCTACAAACAGAACAACACCTAGTTGCCTTAGGATAATCAATACTTCCTTTTTGCTTCAGAAGATACAGAAGTCTTTAAAAGAGTCTCTCATAGGCAAACATATAATGCAAACATAACTGACAACCAGTGCTCTGAAGTGTGCCTGCAAAATGGCTCTCAAATTTTTTGGTATCCTCCTGCCTCAGTGAACAGTTCAGCTGTAAACCTTAATGGTAAAAACATAAGTGTCAGCTCTGCTAGCTATCCCACTTGTTTCAAAATGTATGGAAAAGGAGGGATAGCTTATGAGCAGACAGAAGTTCCTGCATGGGTAGTCTGAGACAGTGTCTCAAATCTGGTTTTTTTTTTTTTTTTTTTTTTTTTCATCAAGTCATAATTCAAACATTTTAACAGCATCCATCAAGACAATGAGAGAAGGATAAAGGAGAGGTAATTGGCATACACCAAGCATTCAGACTCTGAGGAATCTCCTTTCTGAAACCCAGCTGATTCACAGAAGGCAGGTAAGTCTTGAGCACTTGAATAAACAGTCTCTCCATGACTTATTTTTTCTCCTTTTAATCAGAGTGCAACAAAGAAGTCTGTTCCTAGCTGAAGAACAGGGTGCACTCACTGATGATTAAGTATGGTAAAGACGCAAAGACGTATCAGGTTGGACTAACCTAATTTGGGACCAGAACTCACAGTAGTAGGGAACAAGGAAGTACCCCTTACTTAATAATGTGGAAGATATCCCCAGTGGGAAAAAAAAATAAGGGAGGACTATGAATTTCTCAGAAGAAGGGACTCAGAACTAAACTCCTATTTTGCTCTGCACAATATATAGCAATAATGGCATAAAATCCAGTTGTCATGTCGGGCTGCCACAGCTAGAAGAGAACAAAGCAAGATTTTGCTTGTTACCACACCGATAGAAGTCCCTAGCATCATCTTTCAAATTCTAGTTCCTCTATGTACCTTCAGCAATTTTTGCATTTATTGGCTCCATGCATGTAGTTGAACTCAGTTATCTTGAATACGGAACAGAAATTTCTTACAGATTTATCCTCACAACACCCCTGTGAGGTAGGGAAGTGCTCATATGTACACACATTTTAAAGACAGGGTCATGAATGACACAAGAGTCTGCAATATGTTGGTATACATTATTTGGTGCTCATACCTCCCCTCAAACAACCAAAAATCAGGGCCTGAATTCCCTCTCAGCATCCAGATGTAAGTGACCGGACCATATAACCTGTGACATGACAAGAACTGAAATCACAGTGACCTCGTGGTGACAAGGAACTATGAGTCAGGTCCCCACACAGAGCAACTTCTGGAGAAAGTCATGTGTTTGTTGTCCTTGACAGCAAGTTACTGCTTTCAACTTAAAACATCAGTGTGAAAGCTGAGGATAAAGTCTCATACTTGATGGTTACACAGTGTTCAGTTTTGTGCAAAGCATTATTCTGAAGGATAATAAGCTGATTGAAGTATGCTACCATGGTGGAGTGCAGTTCACATAAAATCTAGTTTTTTCCACAAATTCAAAGGACTTTGAAAAAACAAAGGAGGAGAAAAAATTTTCTTTAAAAGCTAAGACCAAGATTTTGCACACATTTGGAAAGAGAGAAGCTGAAAAAAACCCCCCAGATTATATTTATTCCACATGTGCAAAATTCATAAACATTACACTACTACCATGACATGGATTTTGCAAGAGCCAACATAATTCTGTTTACAAAGCAACTTTTAAATCAGGAGAGGTAACATTTTGCAACAGAAAGATCAGTTCTTCCTTCATTCACCCATATTTCTCCACTCCTTCTTTGAAGTAAACACTATATGAGAAATGGTACAGGTAAAAGAATGTTTCTGGCTTATATTATTTGATCTGAAATTGAAATAAGAAAACCACAGGCTTTTATAAATTTTCCCCTCTCAGCCTCCTTCTGGCTGCACAATATCAACAGCCCTTTGAGTGATCAAGAATAAAGGGGAGATCAGTGTGTGTGCTGTTTATTTGTACTGAAATAAATTGGCAGACACACAGATTTGGTATCCAGAGATAATGCCATGGTCCCTATGAATTTAGAAGAATCAGTTAGGTCAAATAAAATGAAAGATAATTCAGTTAATACGACTACAATAATTATAAGGTAACCACTCTAGTAATCAAGAACAAAGTGTACCTAGATTAAAGGTTGGGTAACTGATGGTTAATTACATCAGAGATTTTCTTGATCAGTTATGGCTGGAAGCCTAATTTCAAACCAATCATTACATTTTATGGTCTGAACTGTTTTTCAGTTAAGGGTTTTTCGGTTAAGGGTTAGAAAAGAAACCTTGTGCCTTTTTTATTACCCAACCCCCCCTTTCTTTTCTTTTCATTGTTAAAGAATGAAAACAGAATCTGATGTACTTTTAATATATTTTATGCAATGCTGGATGGAAAAGAGAATATATTAATTCCCTTTTATCACACAGAAACCTGAACTTCTACTTGTTCACTATGACACCATGTTAATGGAAACCCCCAAAGTTGCACATGCCTCTTCAAACCCAAACTGTTCTCAAAACCCTGTTCATAATTTTTTCACAACTCCTGCAGTACCTCAAACGAAATAATTCAGGAGAAATATTAGGAACAGCAGTATACTGGATTCCTGGAAAATACTTTCCAGTCAGAGTGAGCTGTGTACTTTAATCAGTTGCCACACAATACTGTATCTATGGTTTGTATTTTATGAGTGATTTTTCACATAATAGGAACATTTTGTGTTTGCTTCAACATGCAAAGAGGAAGACAGAATCAGTCTCATGTTCTGGTGAATTCACCTTTGCATTTCTGAATCTAGTAAGTTAGGTGAATACCTGCAACTTGAAATCATATCACAGTAGCTGAACTGACTACTATTAAAATGATAATATTGAAATTAATTTTTCCCCTGTTCATATTAACTTTTGCCATAGTTTTCTGATATTCTATACTAAAAATATCAGGATGAAACAGAAAGGGACTGTTGAAGAAAAACTTCCCAAGGAAAACTTGGTTACCTGTGCTTTGTGTAACAAAATATGTACTGTATTCTGCTGCTTTGCTAAATACACTCACTGTTTTCAGTCATGCAGTAACATTTTAAGTCTATTTCCTACAAAAAGATATTACCTAAGCTAGTTAGTTTTGTCTCCTTCTAGAACATCAGTAGTGTAAAACCACATAAAAATTAAATTCTGCTTACTGATACAGATGAAAAAAATCTTTCAAGTCCTTGAGGAAAAAAAAAATGACTACACATTGGCCCATGACGGTGATTTAAAATCCATTTTAGGGCTTTAAAAACAATTTCCTACCCTGACTACTCCCTTTTCACCCTTACTTCACAGCCACTACAGGCCATATTTCCTCCCACAGCAACACTCACTGGAGAACATGTGTATGCAGCCAGTCACATAACCACACCTGGGCAACAGACCAGGGACAAAGGAAAAAAACAAAAGAGAAAAAAAACACCAAATAAAAAACAGTGATACCAAAACCCACCCCATTACATTGCTTTACCCAGTACACATGAGTTTCCCCACATCAAATCCTAACAGCATTTTCTGCTTGTCAGGTTATTTAGTTTGTTCTTCTGATAGGTGTTGGCTAGTTCTAATACCTATAAAACATTGTAAACCCCGCAACACATTTACCTGTTCCTTCTGCATTAAGGTATTAGTCTGACAACTTACAATTACCTCTGACTGATACTTCCATTTCCACAAGAAAAGATCAAACAAAGTGAAGGAAGGATTTGTGCTGATTAAAACGTTTTTATAGTGCTCCGATCTGTTTTAAATGGTAAAAACTTCCAACAATTTTTTCAATTCCATCATATTTACCATATGAGTTTAGGAAAATAGTGCTGGTTTCCAAACTTTTTGTTTTCCTTCTCTTCTCCTTTCCTTTTTCTCTCCCTGATTTACTTTACCTTCTTAGATATTATATTTGAGATGTTAGATATTCTGTTTATGATAGGTGACAACAACTCTTTCCAGTTCACAAACGTTCTTGTCCTTTTCCTTCTGCTTGAAGTCTTTCCATCTTTATAGATGATGTTATTTAGTAATCCATAGAGACAGAACAGAATTGTCACATGGGTCAAAAATCTAGAAGAAAGTTGACAGTAATCCCTTTTTCCACCTCCATCATTGCACATATACTGGAAGGTCCAGAAGTTATTGAGTTATACATTCATCCAAGTGCTCCAGATGTGCAGAGGATACTTACAACTCCAAGCTCCACCATCAGTTCATAAACTGACATGCTTAGCACTCAACGGGGCGGTACTGATAAGCATTCACTCTATTGTACTTGAAAGATACTAGTTAAAAAAAAAGTCCAACAACCAAAAAGCAAAGTTTTCACACAAAGCACCAAGAGCAACCTGAGAAAGGTGATCTGTTAGACTGGCACTGTAACAAACTGAAAGGTACGATTCACCCTTTCGGCGCAAACATAGTGTCTTTGGTGCCTGCTCTGGAGAGCTCACAATCTAAAGGAGACAGAGGCAACAGAATGGTGGCATAGAGGCAAGGACAAAGGAGAAAATAACATGACAGTATCAAAATAGCATTGTATCCTTGCAAGGCTGGCATGCTGCACAGTTAGTATTTTTCATTTTTTAAAAACAGGTGTAATTATTTTTATGACAATGACATGGTCGTCTTCAATCAGCATCAAGACCCTGTTCAGTTGGTTCACAAATAAATTAAAAGAAAATGCCCTGTCTCAAGAGCTTCCAGTTTAAACAGACAAGACAGACAGAGGGTGTAAAACAGAGGCACAGAGGGGGAAGAGGTTCTCTATCTCATCAGCTACCCAGCAGGAACAGACCCATGAAACACACTCTTATTTACATAAATACCATCCAACATTTTTCAGTCACTGGAGGTTAACACCACCCTACACAAAGACTTAAATGAGTAAAACCAAAATAAAACCAAAAACCCAGTCACAAAACATCTGGTGGAAGAGTTAAAATTACAGGAGAGAAGGAGAAGAGAATCCATGAAAATCTGAAAACCTGGAAGACTAGTCTGAAATGGATTCAGAGGTAAAAAAGAAAGCCAGTGGGAAAAGGGAAAAACAAATAGACTAAACCAAAAGGATGAGGCAATATTTACTCCTCCAAATTTTTGTATTTTTTTCTCATACTTTAAGTATGATTTTCCAAGAGATTGGAAAATTAATTTAGTATATAATTGCTCTAAACACCTTAGCATAGCAAATTTGTAAAAAAAACCCCACAACCAAACCAAAATCCAAAACCCAGCAACAACCAACCCACAAACCAAAATGGTCTCCAAAACTACATCATCCAAACAACTTCAAAAACCTGCTCCAAAGAGTAGCGAAACAGTTCTTATTAAAGAAAATGGAATGAGAACAAGCTTGCATAAAAGTTGCAAAAGCTATTTCATTAGGCAATTTAACTTTATTCTAATCACCTTCTGCTATCTCCAAGGATTGTGGGAAGAGATATTATTAGTGATGTAAAGTTGTACAGCTGTAACTGTTAACAGTGTTGGTTTTTGCCATGCAGTGGGTGTTGGATACTTGAATAAACAAAAGATCAATGGTCAGCTCTTGAACAACAAACATGGGATGGCTGCACTGACCCTTTACAAGCACCTGATCAAGCATCCTTGCAGTAAAATTCAATAAGCTACTTCTCAGCAGTGCTTAGAGCCCTTGAATAAAATAGTTTTATAGACCAGAGACGCTATGAAGCATATTCCAGAATTTGACAGCTTTTGTGCATAAGCCCACGCAAACTTCTTGGTTGAGTTGATCTCAGTAATTTAAATCCCTTCAGACTTCAAGATCCTAGAACAATCTGAACCATTTTTCAGAAGCTGGTATAAATGGCAAGAAGTTCTCACTCACTCCTCCCTGGTCACTTTTGCGTTCATCAGTCAGCCTTAGAAAATACTTCCCTGTTGTCCCTGCTTCATGAGAAACCAAACTAGCATGAGAAATCAACCTATTTTCAGACTTTAAAATAGAAAAGGCTAAAATAGCTAATATTGCTTTCCACATAAGCAACTTATTTAAAAAGAAAAATCACTTCACATCCTGGATGATGGGTTTGACTAACTGCGTACTTCTTACCAGCCCTTCACTTGGCTTGATGTTTGTAAGCTGGATCACTTCAAGGTGGGCAGACTGGGAAACCAGTGGATCAGAAGAGAGTGAGATAATGTGGTCACAGACACCAGAGAGAGTTTTACACTAGGAAAGAAAAAAGAAAATAAAATGTCACAATATGCATACCATTGGAGGTGTTAAAAAACGAGTAGATGTAGCACTTGTGGCTATGGTCTAGTGGTTAGGGAGATGCTGGAATGCAGGTGGACTTGATGATCCTAGAGGTCCTTTCCAACCATAGTGATTGCATGATTATTAACTATTTATATATCAATCTACAATTCAAAACATTGCATTTTTAAGATACATATTAAATCACACTGTTGAATCTACAAGGCAGAGGGCATGAAGGAGGAGGAGGAGGAAAGGCCTCAGTCAGCAGCACAATAAAAATAAAAAAAACCCAACACATTTTCTGTAATGACCCCAAACTGACACAGCATCAGACCAGGAAAGAAGAGGCAAATGCTTTTTGCATCTGAGTAGAGAGAAAAAGCATCACCCATGAGCTCTTAGAGTTGAATGTAATGCCTCTGAGCTGTGGCCAGCCACACAGGGAGCATGTGGTGAGCTCAGCCCCTCTTTCTGCCTTCATCTTCTGCAAACAAAAAAAAAAAAAATTGTGTCCACAAACCCCACTGATTTCTGTTGAACATGAGGATGTTCAGCACAGATGAAAATCAGACTGTTAACAATGATGGCTAACTCTCATTATCTCTGAAGTTTATTCCATACTAATAAAACATGCTAATTGACTTTGGAGTGAGTTTCTCATAGAATTGTTTAGCTTGGAAAAGACCTTTGAGATCACCAAGTCTAACCATTAACCTAACTGTACCAAGTCCACTGCTAAACCATGTCCCTATGTACCCTATCTACACAACTTTCAAACACATCCAGGGAAGGCAATTCCATCACTTCCCTGGGAAGCCTGTTCCAGCGTTTGGCAACCCTTTCTGTGAAGAAATCTTTCTTAATACCCAACTTAAACCTCTCCTGGCACAACTTGAGGCCATTTCCTCCTGTCCTAACACTTGTGACTTGAGAGAATAGACTGAACCCCACCTCTCTACAGCCTCTTTTCAGCTAGTTGTAGAAAGCAATAAGGTCTCCCCTGAGCCTCCTTTTCTTCAGGCTAAACAATCCCAGTTCCCTCAGCTGCTCCTGATGGTCTATTGCTGCCTGTATAGACGACTTACTATAGCAGGCATGAAGATTACAATGAATAACCACTTCAGGATGGGATAATTCTTAAACCTGTGAACCTTGGCAGCTTCTTTGCAGCAAGATAGAAACAAAAAAAAATATAAAAGGCTGCAACTCTCAAACAGGTACTGTGTCTCTTCTCATCTCTCACTTCTTGAAAACCCTCTTCTCAGAAGCAGGGAAGTTGTAATTTTTTCCTACCATTCTCTCATATTTCTGTAAGCAAGTGAGTTTTGAGAGTTCCAATATTTTCTGTGAAGCCCCCTTTCCTCATTCAGAATTCAATTGAACTCTTGGTTCAGGTTTCCAAATGCATGTTTTCTCAGCAAATTCAGAGATTAGGACATTTGTCTAGTTCAAAAACTGTGGGTACCTCCAAAACCAATTAAGAACCACCTTAACTGCTCTCTGATGCAAAAGATGAAAGCTAACCAGTCTCCTCAAATGACTGACACAACTGCACACAACTGCTGCACCAGCTGTTCTTCCAAGATTGCAAAGTATACTTCTTAAAGTAAAAAAATACCACAACACCACTATGGAAAAATAATATAAAACTGGATATAACTTCCTTGGCAAATCAGCATTATGACTTGAAATGTCAAACTACAAATATCTTATGTAAAAAGGAAAGTGATAAAAAATAAGTGATAAAAGAAAAATAATCCAGTGAAAGTGGAATCTTAATCCTGTTATAGACCATTACATTGGGATTTTCTCCTCTTTAATTATTTACAAATGGTTGCAAGTTTAGGTATGTATATAGATGGTTGATTTTATTGAACAACAATATTTCAGAAAGAACAAATCAGAATCAAATGGAAAATATAACAATTTATATTACCAATATAACTTTCTTCCAGAGGTATAATCTTCAAGCATAGACATACACACCCACACACCCCTACCCCTTCTGCTTTATCTATATTTCATGATGCAGAATCATTATTGAAAAAAGGAAGCCAAGAAATACATAAGATGGTGTTAAGAATGTGTTGTGCTTTACCTGAATTAGGAATAAGTGAAAAGATTAAAAAGTGAACTTTATTGAAAATTTGGGGGTTTATGGATTTTTAGGTACATGAAAATGGCTTTAGGCTGACATTTTAAAAAGGTAAAAATTACATAAAATTCCATAATAAAAATGAAAACTCAAATTTTCTGTTTGCTTGGGCTTTTTAATGCAATGCTGGCATTTTATTTGTATTTTTATCTCTCTTGTAACTGCAGTGACAACTGTTGAAAAATTACTTTCAGAAAACTACAGAGCACTCAGCACTCCACAGGCAAAATGAAGAGGCCCACATTATAAATCATTTTTGTGTGATGAAAACTGAATTTTTCATGTATCTTTAGACTTGTATTTGCCTGCCTTTTCTTCCTATTAATATTTTCTGTATATACTAAATTTACGGTATCCCTAGCAGTTTCAGAGACACTTCTATTTACAGTGAATAAGCACATGATTTTTTTCTGCTAGTCTCAAGTGTTGCATTGTGGAGAGATGCCAAAATGCACTGACAAGGAGTGTTCCTACCACCTGACACAAGGTATGCCATTTCAACTTCAACAGACATAGCTCCTCATTAAAAAAGAGCCCTTGGCCACCCTGACAGGTGATGGGGAAAGGAGAGGAGTGAGGCAAGCCTAGGATGTGGCACAGAACAGAAGCCCAAGCTGAAACACATTAAATACCTCCCTTGAGCAGCTGGTTTCCCTCTGTCTCTCCATGAAAGGGGTGCTGAGACTCTATACAGCAAGCCTATGGAGATCAGCATTCTAATAGGGTTCTACTGGTTGCAATCCTAAAACAAGGTGGTTTCACAAGGTGCTTTGAATATTCCCTAAGAGGAGATCTGGGAGTACCTGGATACCAAAATTACTAAGTTACTACAATTAAAAAAAAAATAATCTGCCATGTACTTCTTTGAAGTTCTGAAAGATTATTTATTGTCTTTCAGGTGTTGCAGCATTCTTTCCATCTTAGATATTCATACTGCTGTCCAACGGCTCAATATTGTGTACGTTCTAAGCACAATATATGAGCCGCAGCAAAGCTCCTAGGGAAGACACTACACTTAAAGAGTGCTCTCAGATTAAGCCTTCAAATTCTATGACCTTTCCAAGAGGTAAACACTCATTCAACATGTAGGGATACACACAACTAACTTCCTAGAAAAATGTTATTTAGGGGCAAAACTCTGCTACATTATTATAAAATCTTTTCTAGTTCATGACTACCCAGATTGCACAAGAGGGAAGACAAAAGTTGAAGCCAGAGAACTTTAAAGATTATTACATTTTATCCTTTTGTGACACAGTCCCTGTTCTCACTATAAGCCTTACAGCAATTACTTCAGTTCTCTTTTGCAGTAACTCATTGCTGGACATCAATAATAAATTCTCTTCTCTATTCAGTGGCAGACTCACAACTGCAGATTGAAACTACAGCACAGTCTTTATGCACAAAGCTAAATGAGTCAAAGGTGGATGAAAAATATCACTACACAGTAACCTGTTGTTTGGTAGAAATTCAAGAGAAAATATTTTTTCACTCAGTAAGCAATGAGTTTATGCCCCAGAGCATGAAGAATGAAAGGTAATAGATTCTATCTGTATGTTTGGACTGTAGTGTACCAACTTCTAACAGATTTTCCACAATTGCTCCTCCTTTCAGACAGAGGGATGAGAACCTAAAGGTGACTAAATTTGATTTGCATCTGTTCTTATTCTCTGTGGCTACTTCAATTTGTGCTGGGAAAATGCCTGTCTTCTAGAGCAGAATGGAAGTTCTTGGACTCAGTGATCTTGAAGGTCTTTTCCAACCTAAACAATTCTACAATTCTTAGGGACACAGCTAACTTCAGAGTCCTCCACAAGCCACAGCCTTTCATCAAACTGTTCATCTGCTATCTGTTCAATTCGGGCAGTTCTAGGGTCACCAAGCATTTCTGGTCAAGCGAAGAGATTCTGTTTGTTCCTGTCCTTAATTTTACTTAGGGTAGTAACCAATCTTAAATCTATCTCGCAAAGTATTTACAGAAGTGAAGCATCCTGGCTTAAACACGTTCCCAGAGCTGAGGGCAGGAAAAGCACCTGCCTCCCTCACCAGCTCTCTCACCTATGCCACTTGAATGAGGAATAGAATGCCAATGAGACACGCAGACATTCAGGGCTGAAAGTAAGAAAAATGTGTCTTGGCAACGTTAATATTACTTTGTTTGAAAAAAAAAAAAAATCCAAAACTCAGTTAGTTACAACTGACTGAGGTGAAGCAACTTGCTACATCAGCATTTCGGACGAAGCCTACCTAGTTAGCTTAAGCCAAACCAAGTAATTAGTCAATTAATTCTAATCCAAAACATTTGTTGCACTGTAGCGAATACATCAGTAACTCTGGCAATCTTAGAACCAACTGTTCCTGAACACAAAGTTTAACCAGTGAACAAGATCATATTTTGGTTGCAAAAAGAGAAGCTTCTGTTAAAGTGAAGTTTGCTGGGCCCAATTTGCAAGGTATAGACACTTGAAAGGAAGAAAGTGGTTACTTTTCTTTCTTTAGACTATATAAATAATATCTTTGACAATGCACCTTTAGTCAATTATAGTTCTATAACAAATATTCAAATATAGCAGGCAGGAATGAATTATCACTGTGGTTTCTGCAAGGCTTTTAGGAAGAAGAGAAAATTCTGAGACATGAACCTGTTCTTCTTCAGTTTAATAACTCCTTTTTAATTAAAGGAGCTCTGTTCTTTTTCAAAAACTTCACTGTGTGGTTCCGCTTTCTATGGTTTTCCAACTCTATAAAATTGTAGTTTTTCATAGGAAAAGCAAGATTATTTTTAAAGAGTGAAATTCCTTAGGAAAACATTTTCTTTTCTTAAAGAATTAAACTAAAAAGAGAATTCAGTTAAAACTTATTAGTAATCTGACTGGAGCCCAACTTCTACTTTCTATAATTAGTTCTTCTTGCTTTGCTCTTCCTTCAATACCACTACTTCACATGGATTAATCTGAACAATGTATTTCCATCACATAGAGCCTTGAACAGCTGGATGGAATCAATGAATTATTCTTCAAATATTTTAAAGCTCCATTCAGCTTTGCAATGATTAAATTATAACTCCTCAAATAAGTAGAACCCTTTTAAGCTGAACAGTTTCCATACATTTTATTATCTCAAGTTAAATCAATATAAAGATTTAAAATCTTAAACTAGTAAGAGCATACTAATTTCCTTTTTTGAAGTAAACACCACACCTATAGCTTATACTTTCATATTTAGGCCCAAGGTGTTTTAAAATTTATTCTTAAGTTAGTATTTTCTACCACCATCTGCCTCATCGTTCCTATTTTTTGGTGATATTTACTTTGTTTATTTTAATTATCACCATTATTACTACTTAATTATTTATATACATCAATTACCGAGCAAAAGGTGTCTTTCTTAGAAAAAACATATTGAAAATGAAGTGGCAGAAATAGGAAGCATTTCTCCATATTCATGAATATTTCAGAAGCATCAACATGTTAATAAGCAAAACCCTGCATATTATTCCTGTGTGGTTTTGCTACTTATTCCACAGAAACCAAATGTTTCTGTGAATGAATTCTCAACAACATAAAAACCTTTAAGGTACATAGTTGTCTTTAAAAGAATTGTTTTAACACAGCTGCAATTCTATGAAAAAAAAAAAATATATAAATGAGACTTTTTTTCCCAGACACACTTTGCAATTGTGCATTTAGAAGAAAAAAAAGTTGAAGTAGGCAATTTCTTTTTAAAACTTCACCAGTTTTCTATAAGACCTTCTTTCTTTAGATACATTGTGTGTTTATTTGAATAACAGATTATTTTTCTATTTAATCTAATATTGTGAGTGACAATCAAAATGCTTTTTATAACATTTGAAACTCAAATTGCTTGAAGTAAACAAAAATATTTCTTTTTTGAATATAAGTTGAAGCTATACAGTACTGTCTCCACAGAATACTATTTCTTAAACATATCAGTGCTATCTAAAATGCTAACATCTAAATAAGTTTACTGACATTAAAACGTACTATCTATGGACAAAGTGATTCAGAAGTCTCTGCACATGAACATCCACACTGTCATCTCTGAAAGAAAGAGGACATTCACTTGCTTTTCAAAAGAAATTACTGCAATTAGAATATGAGCATATGAATTGTATTTTGGCCCTACCTACCATTAGTTTAAGCAACCAATCAGTTGCTGAATTGGGGATCTTGCCTTTGGTGACAGATGTTGCCTACTTCACTGTGCTTTACAGGAAAGCATGAAGACTCAGTGATGGAATAACTTTGCAGCTATCCATGTATGTACTTCAACAGCAGCAGAGTGGTTTCACATCCCCTGCCTATGCCCACACATACTCTTGCCTCCTGATTTGGCACAAAGTAGGCTTACACCAGTGGGAATGGGGCAGCATCCCCAGAGAAGATATGTGCTTACAGAGGTCTAGCCCCTGAACCATGGCACAAGAGTCCAAAATAACACTTTCAGCCATGTCAGCAATGGAGGTGTTCAACCCGAAGTAAACCACTGGACCACCAATATGTTATGTAGACAAAAATCAACTACTTTGACCCAATGATCTTCTCCTAAGGTGGTAAACTGCTTGGTGTCCTAAAGAATAATAGTACATAACTGTCATTTAATTTATTTTAATTTCTGCAGCTGTAGTTAATTTTTACTTCTGTAAGAAGGATCACTTAAAATTTTTCTTCAATCCTTTGGGGGAATAATACCTTGCAACAAGGATTTCCTTAGGCTAACTGCATGAATTGTAAGTCATTGCCTTTCACGTTTGTGAGTAACCTTGTTTCCTTGTGTCGTGGAGAGAGCAGTGCTTGAAATCATGTGGGGCAAGTCCATGGTTTTGAATTCAATTTTCTCAGTCATTCCAGCAAGCACAGCTATGTGTTGATATCTGATCAAAGGCAGCTGGATGTGATGCTGACCAGACACCACTTCTGTTACCTCCAGGAGATTGCATGGTTTGCAGATAGGAAGTGTACTCAGAAAATGGACTTGCAATAGCTTGGTCTTGGAATTTAAGAAGAGAGAATTTACTTCCTTTATAATATCTGTGTATATGACCTCTCTTCCCAATTTTTCCTAGTTCTCCCAGCATTTTTCATTCAAGGTCCTTCCTGCACCTTTACCAAAATTTACTATTTCTTTTATATCAGAAAACCTTTTTAACATTCACCTCTAAATTTACTGTATGCAAAGTCTATTAACAGCAGATTTAAATTCTTAATCCCCCTCTACAGCCTCTTTAATCTAGCTTGTTCTTGTGCATTCAAGTATTATTATCTCATAGAGTATGTAACATCCTCTCTTCTTTGACACTGGTATAAAAATACCATGCACTCAAGATCTTGGTATCAGTAGGCTTTTTCCCTCTTTTTAATCTTCCTGTTAGATTGTTCCTCCTCAGGTTATCTAAAGGGCCAAAGCCACAACACTTTTTCCTGTCTTCCAAGGAGAGGGGTTAGACAGAACTGTGACTGTTTTCAATTCTAAATCCATTACCAACCTTTTTAGCTGCACGTGTAAAATACTTGCTCTCAAATTCAAAATGCAATTTCAAATCACATCTTTTAACTATTCAGTCACAGACATCTCTTTATCTGATTGCTTTTGGTCAGTTTTTGCCCCGTGAAATCTCATCCACCAGCTGAAATGTCATGGTCAGAAATGATCCAAGTTACGTGTAATACATATAGTAATTTTTAATCCTAGGCTTCAGCAAAGCATTCAACACTGTTCATGTTTCCTTGAAAAACTGAGCACTAATCATAGAACCTAGTTAAGCTCTCCACAATAATACATATGTCCCCCTGTCACCACAGTGAAGTTACTGTGGATTAAAGAAATAAGCCTATGTGAGTCTGGATGATGTACGATAACTTTTGAAACCTGTCTCAAATTTGTGCAGTGACATATCTTAAATGAATCCCTCTTAGTTTCCTCAAAATTTTCTGTTGATGACTATATTAATATATATCTTTTGTAGAAGATATATAGTGGCAAGTGTCAGAGCTCTTGACTCATAGCAGAAAACAAGCATGCACTGAAAATCAGGCTATGTATGATTTCAAACTTACAACGCTTCAACTTTTGCCAAGATTATGCAATTAAAAACTCCATTACTTAAATACTTGCAGAGATCATCCTAGCAAAGATGATGATGTCAGTGTCACTAAAATTGCTAATTCTTTCTGTCCCACAGGGAAAGAACGACAGTGAAACTTAAAAATACAAGAAGACATTTTATTCCACAACATTGTGAAATAAAAGCATCAAAAGCTTATAGAATTCAGCTTGCCAAGTATTTCATATAGGACCACTGAAAAAAAAAAATAAAAAGTATGGCAAAATTTACTGGTAAGCTCATGTTTTAAAATAAAGAAATAGTATTTTCCTGCCTAAGCTCCAGTAGTAAGAACAGTGAGATATCAAAACCTACCTAAATGTGAAATACGGTGAATAAATTCAACTAATTCATTACTCACTCTTCGGAAGAATATCTTCATATCTAACTTTTAGAAACAAGGTCTATGTTAACTTAATGCTCACTGAACTACAGCCACAACATGAAATGCAGTTTGATATCTAAAACTAAGGTGCAGTTTTCAGACAAAGTTTACTCAAACTTTTGACTCTACATCCACCAAAGTACCAGTCTTTCAAACTCATCCTGTGTTCCGATTCCCTGAAGAATTTCATTTACTTTAGCTATTATCAACAAATTCTAGAAACACACCACTGTATTAATGCTGAGAGTTCAAAAGGAAAGAATCACATTACTTTTCCTGTCTCTAGTCTAGGTCCATGCTCCTATAATACATCTGTATAAATGAAGCTATATCACTAATAAATATATATGAGTTCACAGAAACCTAGCAACCAGCATTCTCAAAAAAAAATATATAGAATTGCCATTTTTCAAAGTCATTCTTCTGATCACGCTTTACAAATAGTAGACGGGCCTGAGCCAGACAAACACAAGCCCTTGCAAAGTTCCTGTCTTCTCACATGCCAAATTCAGCTTCCATAATATCATTACCTATCTACAAGTAGTTCTATACATTCACTCATTCATACCCAGACTAGTTTGTTATCATACTGGCACTACATAGAATAAGAAAAAAACCCACACAGCTGTGTAATTCTATGTACTCTTTATAAATATATTTATTGATAAAAATCCAAACACTACTCACCACATGAAGAATTTTATTCTCTGTTTCATATACTGTGCAATCCTGAAAAAGTAAAGCAGAAAAGGAAGGTTAAACTAACCAAATCATTCACACTTCCTAGATTTACCCTCAAAAAGAGTTAAACTGAATTGAAATGTCTTTAGAACAAAACAGAAGATTTCAAAGTCTCAAGCAGAATCAAGAGATTCACATAACCTAAGTATGAAGCCACAGTAGAAAGGAAATAAAAGGTAAACGTTTATCCACTAGTTTTTGTTACTTCCTTCCTTAAGACCACTAATGGTCTTCCTCCACTTTACATCCTTTTGGCACGTATCAGCTAATTACATGTAGGCCAGACAAGTGTCTTCAACCAGCAGTCTCAGGCCATGGACAATACTCACCCGCTTCTAGTGGCAACACTGAAAACCAGAGGTACCAGCAATAGTCCTAAGTCACTAAGAGAGAAAACTAAGCTAAACAGCTCCTGCTGAGCCAAGCTGAACTGCCATGTTTGCACACCCCGACAAAGACGAGAAAGAAAACCCTGGGAGGAGGAAGAAAAGAACAGGGAACCACTGGCTGTTGTAACACTCCATGCAACGGGAAGGAAGGCAAACATGGAATACAAAATGCACAGGAAACTTGAGTCGGACCATCTTATTACATCCTGCCTGCTGGGGGCTGGATGCACGTTTCTGTCACCTTCTGTATCACATGAGGCAGTCTCTATAAGCAAGACTAACAGATGGCAAGCTAGTGGCCATGGAAGTTTTTCTAACAGGCCAAAATCTCAGTAGACATAGAGAAATGGAATTAGAAAGGCAGAGAGCACATGAAATAGGACCAACATTGATGAAAGAACCAATCTTTTTTAAGTTCCTCAGATACTGTAGCTTTCTGGTGTTTAGTGGAAGCTTTGTTTAGAACATATACTTTATAACCTACCTAATAACCACATGAAAAATGTGACTAAGTTTTCATGGTTTAAGTCTCATTTTTAAATCACTTTATCCTCTTAGAAAAATTACTTTGTTATACACAACAGTTTTTAAAAAATGAACTTTTGATCCATGCTTCTAGTGTTACTCAGGCAAGAAGAGCCAATGTGGTCTTAAGCTCTATGTGAAACAGCCCATGCAGAAGCAGCAGGTTGATCAGGGAATAGTTTCTTAATAACAGCTGTTGGCATTCAGGAAACATTTCCCAGTAAGTACAGCCAGAAAGAAAATTTAACATGTTTAATTCTACACAGGTATCAATGAAGCATTTGCCTTCTTAGCAGCAAACCACAGGTTTCATTGTTGTATGTGGGAGGGCATGTAACATTTCCAGTCTGGATACGTGTATGTTCCACATGGATTCTTATGAATCATTTTGCAAAAACAGCAGGGAAGGGATTACAACATTTAAATTGAAGGGAGGGGAAGTGCTACTAAGCAGACATTTCATATTTCATTTGCAATAGGAAGAGTTTACTATAAGTTTAAACATTCAGCTTGAAAAGCGTACTGTTTGAGAAGTTTCACTACTAAGGGAAGAAGTATTCTGGGTTCTTAAATGCTGTAGAGGTTTATTACAGCCAAGAAACCAGCAAATAACAGAGAAACACTGCTACATCTTTGAAATGAAACTACCACACAGTCATGAAGGTAAGAAAAAAAACCAAGAGTACATATATATATAAATGCATAACATAAAATGCTTCTGAATATACAGAAGAAAGTAAAGCAAGTGGAAGATTTCTCAGGCATCCAGTCTATGTATAGGAGCAGGCGGCCTCACGCCTAAATTCCATCCTCAACACATAATTCCATATTAATCTAGGGTATGATAAGAGGAATTGCTAAATGAATTCATCACATAGCAGACAGCTGATTCTTGATGCTACATCTTCACGTTCAAGCAACAGGAAAATCAGCATCTCAGTAAACCATAAAAGATTAAAAAAAATGGAAGACAGCAAATGCAATGCTTAGGTAAAAAACCTCTTCCAAAAACATACATTTCTATACATGGATGACATCCAACTAAATATAATTCAAGCATGAACTCACAGAAATGTGAAAAAATGCAAAGATCCATGCTGGCATAGCCCAGAGCAGCCCTGAAGTCTAGGATTCAAAGAAACCTAGAAAAGGTCACCAAGTTGATTCCTGCAAGCTCATTTTAACTTCCCACAGCCATCTCTAGAGATGAGGTCTGAGTCTGCCTCTGCATGATCCCAAGAGCAAAACCTACATGTCACTTTCATAGTGAACAGTTTATTTCCCCTTAGATTTTTTAAGTCACTCCACTTCTTTGTGCTTTATCTTTAAGCAAGTGCTGAGGATAACTGTTCTCACCCTCTTCAAACATCCCTTAGGTAGAATGATAAGCTGAATGCTTATTACTGGGGGCCTTTACCATTTACAATTATTGCTTTTTCATACCCATTTCATTTCAACTAAAAGAGTTTAAAGCACTTGAGGACTATAAAAAGAGTCACTAAGTGTGCAATTAGAAATAAATTTGTATTCTTAACAGCATACCACCCACAGCTGGAGAACATCTCTTCATTCCATACCTAGACAAAGAGCCTATATCTTATTCTTGAAAGATCATCTTAAATACCTGTTTAACAACAGTATCAAAACATTGCAATTAAACTAAGAAACGGATCATATGCAAGTTTAACATCAACTTCAGAAAAGCAAGAACATACAAAAAAATCTCCAACCAAGTTTTACTCCCACACGAGCTAACAATTCACTCGGTGAAACAATACTGTCTTTACCCCTGAACTGAATTACACGAATACAGCAAGGAGGAAATACTTTATTTTCCCCTGTTTATTCTCTGAACTTCATGCATATAGACCAGCCTGGATGAACAGAAAGCTTTGGCTGGAAGTCAGGAAGAAAAGGAAAGTGTATGGGCTATGGAAGAAGGGGCAGGCCACTCAAAAAGACTTCAAAGATTCCCTGAGGCTACACAGTGAGAAAATTAGAAAGGCCAAAGCACAGCTAGAACTTAATCTGGCCACTACCATGAAAGATAATAAAGTGTTTCTATAAAGATGTTAACAGCAAAAGGAGGACTAGGGAGAATCTCCATCCTCTGTTTGGTGTGGTGAGAAACATAGTGACCAAGGACGAGGAAAAGGCTGAGGTACTGAACGCCTTCCTAGCCTCAGCCTTCAACAGTAAGATCACCCACCCTCTGAGTATCCAGCACCCTGAATTGGAAAACAGGGGCAAGGAGTACAATGAAGCCCACACAGTCCAAGGGTAAATGGTCAGTGACCATAAGTCTGTGGGGCCAGATAGGATCCACCCATGGATGAGGTGCTCATCAAACCACTTCCCATTATTTATGAGCCGTTCTGGCTAACTGGGGAGGTACCAGTGGACTGGAGGTTAGTAAATGTGACACCATCTACAAGAAGGGCTGGAAGGGAGGATCTGGGGAACTACAGGCCTGTCAGCCTGACCTCAGTGCCAAAGAAGGTTACGGAGCAGATCATCTTGAGTACCATCGCACAGCACATACAGGACAACCTGTTCAGGCCCAGTCAGCATGGGTTTATGAAAGGCAGGTCCTGCTTGACTAACCTGATCTCCTTCTGTGACAAGGTGATCTGGATGAGGGGACTGAGTAAGTTTGCAGACAACATCATGTTGGGAAGGAGTGTTGATATGCTTGAGGGCAGAAAAGCTCTTCAGAAGGTTCTGGACAGGCTGATTGACGGGCCAAGGCCAGGTGCCAGGTCCTGCACTTTGGTCACAACAACCCCAAATAACACTCCAGGCTTGGGGAAGAGTGGCTGGAAAGCTGCCTGTCACAGAAAAGGGACTCAGGGTTGCTACATAACAATGACCTGAATATGAGCCAGCAGTGTGCCCAAGAAGGCCAACAGCATCCTGGCTTGCTTCAGAAACAGTGTGGCCAGCACAACTAGGGAACTGATCAATCTCCTGTACTCCACACAGGTGAAGCCACACCTCAAATACTGCATTGAGTTTTGGGGGCCTCACTACAAGGAGGACATTGGGGTACCGGAGTCCAAAGGGAAATGAAGCTGGTGAAGGGTCTAGAGCACAAGTGTTATGAGGAGCAGCTGAGGAAACTGGGACTGCTTAGCTTGGAGACAAGGAAGCTCAGCGGAGACACTATCACTCTCTACAACTACCTGAAAGGACATCTCTTCTCCTAGGTAACAAGCAACAGGAAAAGTAGAAATGTCCTCAAGTTGTGCCAGGGGAGGTTTAGGCTGGATATTGGGAAAAATTTCTTCACCGAAAGGGTTTGTCAAGCACTGGAACAGGCTGCCCAGGGAAGTGGCAGTCACCAGCCTTGTAGGGATTTAAAAGATGTGTAGATGTGGTGCTTAGGGACATGGTTTAGCGGTGACCTGGCAGTCCTGGGTTACCAGTTGAACTTCATGATCTTAAGTTCTCTTCCAACCAAAATGATTCTATGATTTCATACATTCACTGACAAACTATAACTAAAGCTAGGCTATATGGTCATCTAACCAACTAAACAACAGCTGAAACAGCCGAAGTTTACTTTCCAAATGCACATTATTTTCTAAAAGATTATTATTAACACAAGTTGTTGATAAAGCAACAAAAGCAGTTCTGGATTAATTTATACTTCCTGAAGATGTAGTCAAATATTGGCTATTAGTAGTTTCAAAGAGGAAAGTGAGAAAGTGTCATCCGCCAGGACAGTGAAGTAAAAGAGGAATATCACAGAACAACTTAATTACTAATATCAGATTTTCATGGTCACCCTTTCTAGCTCTGTCTCGTTCATCAAAAAAGCAAATTTGACCTTTGTGCAGGCAGCTGGAATTAGGCTAAAAAAAAAAAAAAAGACACACAAAGTTCAAAACAGGAAAAAAAAGAAAAAAGTGCAGTAAGGTAAAAATGCAGATGGGAAAAGCAAGTAAGAACAAACCACCACAATCAGAAAGACAGTTCTGCACTTTCAATGCTGGTATAATTTTCAAACCTATTTTAAAGACTAGCAAGACCTATGCTACACTGCAACTGAGAGGCATCACTTACATTTCTTCC